CCCCGCTGGGTGGCTGCTGAGCAGGGCCCGGCTGCACGGAGCTGCTTATCTCAGTCGGGGAGGAGAGCTGGGTGGCAGTAACGTGGGGCTGCTCTACCGAGAGCCCGTGACCTAGGAGTGTGCATAGCAGGGTTCTCTTCATTGGGCCTTAAACGAGCTGAACTGGGGACCCCTTCACAGATCTGCGGCTGATAGATGGGAAAAGTAAAACTGAGCCTCCCCTAAAACAAAGTCCCTTTAGCATGTGTTGTGGTTCTGGTTTAACTTTTGCTTATAGCATGGTTTAACTGCTCAGTCTCCTCTGCCTTTCAGAAGAATTGGTGCTTGCTTTTTTCTGCTCTGGTGCTTGGCTCCCATCAGCCTGCAGGTGGCAATGGGAACCTCTTAGTCCCACTGAAACCAGCAGAGATGCTCTGAAAGCAGCTGGGTTTATTTCACAGACTCATAAGAACACAGTTAATTGTCTTGCAGTAATATCTGAGTGCTGTCCATATGAAGGTTTTGTTACCTCAGTTCCTGGAATGATTCAGACTGTGTTGATGGGGTAAAGTTAATGCAGGTGTCATTTGTTGGACTCCAGTGGCAGGGGAGAAAGGTGAGGAATTGCTGCACCGTTCTCCAGTGACACAAGATGGGCATGAAAAGCCTGTTTGGGTGGGTGCTGTCTTTTGGGAGAAGACTGTAGATAAGGTCTAGTCTTGAACAGTTGCTGGGACAAGATTTCCTCAGTTAGTTCTTCCGTGGAGATGCCAGTGTCAAGTCAGATGTTCTTTTGCTCTGCAGGCTGCCTGCAGAACTCTCTTGTGGATCACTTCAAAATGAAGTAAACTTGGGTGAAAAAAAGATTACTCTCCTGGCAATCATATTGTCAGCAATGGTTCCAGTGCATGCCCCTGGGAAGGGGGCATGTTCCAGAAATAGTCACTCAAGGGAGAGGGAATGGCTGGCACTAAGTAGACTGGCTTGCCTGAATCTGAAGGATTTTGGTGTTTGTGCTGTCCTGAATAAGGAAGTTGAGTGTTCCCATCATGCATCCTCAGGAGATTTGATTTTCTCACTGCAGCTTCAGGTTTCAGTTACATGTGTGGCTTCCAGAGCAACCTGCAAATAAACTGCTTTGTTTCATTACAGACAAACCTCCCCATCTTCAAATTGAAGGAGTCGTGTGTGAGGAGACGATACAGCGACTTTGAGTGGCTGAAGAATGAGCTGGAACGAGACAGTAAGGTGAGGCCTGGCTCAGTCCTCCCTATTCCTTAAGCCAGGATGTGGGAACAGCTGCAGCAAAAATCTTGAGATTCCCAGAAGTGGGGCTGTGGTGGTGGATGTTACACCCCAGATACTTAAATCTAGGGGTTAAACTGAGATTCCTTTTCTCTAGTTTGGTGTAAGGAGAAATCCCAACCAGATATTCTCAAGAGGTCACAAATGCACAAAAGTTTACTGGCAAAAATAAGGAATTTTGGCAAAGGAGTAAATACACTTATTATAACATTACTTAGCATTAAATTATTATTACCTTAGCATAATGTTATCCTGCTTAACTTGGAAACCTTTAAAACCTTAAGTTGCTATGTTACCCAGAAAAGTTCCATGAAAAGATGATTAGAAGGAAAAGAGAGAGAAAGACAGAAAAGGTACAGAAAAACACACATAGCTACCAACTTCTAGGGTTCCAGCATGGGTGAGATGAAAACTCCAGGAGAATGCAGGGGCCAGGCAAGTCCCTCATGGGAGGTTTTAAACCCCAGGGCTTTTGTGGCCGCCTCCCAAGGTGGAGCTTCTGGCCACTCAGGGGCTGGGTTAGCACCACCCTCAGTGTGATTGATGAACTGCTCTGCCCGGCCTGGGATGTTGGCTCTGGGCTGAGGGGTGGAGCCCTTCACAAGCCCTGATGTGCCACTCCCACCAAACATGCACACAGGCGTTTGCCGAGCATCCCAAAATGTTTTGAGACATGAAACTTGGCCAGTCTCTGACAGTGGGCACCTTCTGCTCTGTCCATGTGATGGCACTGGAGATGAGCATCAAGCAGCAAAGGATGTCTGGTGGCTGCTGTGCTCATGGGGTGATTCTGTGCTTTCAGATTGTAGTGCCACCGCTGCCTGGAAAAGCTTTGAAACGACAGCTTCCCTTCCGAGGAGATGAAGGCATCTTTGAGGAGTCCTTCATCGAGGAGCGGAGACAGGGCCTAGAACAGTTTATTAACAAGTAAGTTTCATGTCCTGGCTTTGCTGTGTGCTGCCTTTTTAGCTCTTGCTGGGCCATGAATTGACTGTGAGAGAGTCTCGAGTCTTGACCTGCTTCTGGCAGGTGCCAGTGCTGGAGGGTGGCACCTGCAGCCACGGAATGAAACTGGAACTGGAGCAAGTCCTGCCCTGAGTGGGGGCTGTGCTTTGTGCTCTCTCCTGAGAGCATAGTGAGTATTAGCAGAACAGCTGTGCTGCAGGGACCCACCAGCATGGTACTGTTGGTTCAGGGCACGTCCTGGAAGGGAACAGCCTGTGCTCAAGCACCTCTTACAGGTCCTGTTGCAGAGCCATGCGTGACCTTGGGCTGAGCGCGGTGCAGGTGTGCTGAGCTGGCTGCCTGACTCCCTCCTGACACGTCAGAGGTGTGGGGGTCTTGGAGGCAGCTGTGCTAACCTCCACATCTGATTTTCTTCCAGAATTGCTGGACACCCACTGGCACAGAACGAGCGCTGCTTACATATGTTCCTGCAAGAGGAGACTATTGATAGGAATTACGTCCCAGGGAAAGTGCGCCAGTAGGAGCACCTGGCACTGTCTTCCTCCATTCCACCCTCCCTCCTGCAAAAATGACATTTATTTTTACACTAAATCTGTCTTCTCTGAACCAGCTTTTCCTCTCTTGAACCTCCCAGTTTGTTCAGTATTTTCCTCTTTTGTAACTGGCAGCAGTTTGTTCTACTGGGCTGTGGTCGTGGCCTAAAGATGTGAAAATTTATGCAAGTGAGTGTATTGTCCCACGTCTAGGGGCAGATGTGGATAGGTGTGGAGCAGGAACTTGCTAATGACGTTCTGGTGTAGGAGCTGCCTCTCTCCCTGTACAGGAAGATAAGAGATGACCTTCACTCCCTTGTCTGTGCAGCCCCAAGCATCTCTGCAGGAGACTTTGAAGAATAGCAGTTGTCATGTTGGTCAGTGATTATATCAGGTATTAGAGTTTTAGTAAGGTTTATCCAAACCAGTGAGTAGGTGCCTGGGTGTGTCAGTCTGTCATCCACCCCATTCACCCTGCATGAAACCCCCATTCTTCACTGTCTGGAAGTGCTGAGACCCAACACCTACTCAAACCCCGCTATCAGCCTCCTGAATTACAGACCTATTTGGTGTATTTGTGTCCCCTCCTTTCTAAGGTGCTGCTGGCAGCTCGAGGGGTTTCCATCCCATGTGCTCTCATGATGCTCTTTGTGGGCCATTTGGCATGTGGAAGATGGGATAGTCTGGGCTGTAGCCACGTGTGCTGTGATGCATTGGCCCAGAGTTTAAGAAACACCACAGCCTGCTGTAGCATGGGCTGCTGGGCTGGTGTTGCCTGCAGCACCCTGCTCGGCTGAGCTTAGTGACCTTATCCTGGGCCCCAGCTGCTGGGAGGAGCAGACTGGCTGGCTGAGGAGGAGCAAGAGAAGGCTGGTGGGAGCAGTTGTAGGATGCAGTTGTGATGGCTGCCACTGGAGGAGCCCAGCAGTGGGGCCTGGAGTGAGGCCACCTTTCCAGAAAAGGACAGCAGAAAATGGGAGTCAGTCCTAGGTTAGACATTGCTTACAAAGCAGGAGAAGTAGCAGTGGCTCTTTGTGTGTTCTCCCCTGTTCTGCAGTGAGCTAGGCAGTCACTTGTGTGGAAGTGAGAACATTTGACTGGTCAGGGAAGCGTTCAGAGCTTGAGGGGACAATGAGGCTGTGACTTGCTGCAGCACAAGTGTCCTTTGGAGGTTCCCCCAGTTACCACAGCTGTGATGAGTGAGGTTGGGCCTCAGCTTGGGGGCTCCTCAGGTCAAGGCTGGCTGGTTTAAAAGTGCTTGGTGACTTTGTTGTGGCACAGTTGAGCCTTTCTTGGAGCACAGGCCCAGAGTGGATGCCCTCCTGTTCCTGCCAGGCACGTTCCCCGAGGCCTTCCCAACGTCCCCTCTGTTTTCTGGTGAGGAACTGGTACTGCTGGGCGAGAGGTGGCTCTTGGGGAGAAGTCGCTGAAAGCGCGGGGGAGCTGTTCCGGGGGCTGGCTCGGTCCGGAAAGGGCCGTGGGGCAGCGCGGAGCCCGGTGCCGGTGGAGGCGGCCGTGGCCTCGGAGGGGCTCGGTCCCCGCCTCCTGCTGCCGCCAGTCGCGCTCGGGGCGGCTCCTTCCCCTGCCCTGCGCGGGGCTGCCATCCATCCAGCTGTCTGCACCCTGTCCAGTGTAACGTCCCGGTGCCGTTCGCATTAAACCACTGTGAAGCCAATTGTCTGCCTGGTCCTGGGGGCTGCCGGGACGGGGGAACCGCCGGGACAGAGCGGGCTCCGGCGACGGGGCGGGAGAGCTGCCGGGACAGAGCGGGCTCCGGCGGGGCGGGGGAACGGCCGGGGGAAGATGGACATGGGTGGGGCGGGAGAACGGCCGGAACAGAGCGGGCGGGGCCGGCACAGGGCGGAGGCGGGCGGGGCTCCCCGGTTCTCCCCGGCGGTTCCAAGGCGCGATGTGGCTGCCGGAGTCGCAGGCCGGCCCCGGCTCGCCGGACTGCCCTGACCTGCTGCAGCACGTCCCGGCGCTGCGCACGCCGGCCACCCCGCTGTACCTCAGCTTCTTCGAGGAGGAGTGTCGCGCCATCGTCGCCCTCCTGCGCCGCGGGGCGGCCGCGGAGTCCTCCCCGGGCCCGGCGGAGCTCAGCGGACTGCAGCCCAAGACCCCCGGGCCCGCCACCTCCACGCCGCTGCCCTCACCGAGCCACGGGCAGCTCCCCGACTCGAGCGCGGGCGACTGCAAGGCCGTTGCTACCCCTGCCCCGGCCCCAGCGGAGCCCGGGTCCCTCCCGCAGCCCGCGGCCGGCGGTGGCGGTGGCCCCGGCGCCCGTCCCGCTCGCACGCCCGCTGTGTCCCGGCGGGCGCGGCGCGGCCCCGAGCTGCCCTCCGGCGGCGGCCCCGGCACCCCTGCCCGCTCCCCGGGCCGCGGCCGCTCCAGGCTCGCTCTGCCCCGCGCACGGGCCTCGCTGGGGCTGCAGCTCCCCGCGGCCGGCACGGGGCGCGGCGCCTGGGAAACGCGGCTCCTGCGGCCCCCAGGTAAGCGGGGGCACGGCGGGGAGCCCCGGCTCGGCGCCGCCCGCCCGGCCCTGCAGAACCCCCTCTCTCCCCCAGGGACTAGGCTGAAGCTGACGTCGCCTGCCAGGTCCAGGCTTCTACGTGCCAGCGGGGCTTCGCGGCAGGCACCGCCTTCCAGCCTTCCGAAACTCGCCCCCCGGGCCAGAGCGGTGAAAAGTAATGCTGCACCTGCCAGTTGCCTCGCGCGAAGCAGGGAAGCACGTAGGTTACGGTGCTGCACCTAGAAGGGAGAAGGGGAAGGGCTTGGGCTGCAGCCCAAGAGGGGGACAGGGCATGGGGAGTCCATGGGAGCGGCATAGGTAGGAGTCTAGGAAATAGTCTCGTACCCCGAGGGGTGTGTTAACACTGCCTGGCCTCCTGCCAGTGTGGGCTGGCAGCCTGTTGAGTTTGAAGCCTTCACCCCGTGGTGTTGTGGGGTCACAGGTGCCTGTGCTCCTAGGGCAGGCAGCCTGGGTCAGCCCCGGCCTGTCTGAAGAAGGTGCAATGGAGCTGCTTGGGAATAGCGGCCTCTGTGTTTACTGTTCACTGCAGCTGCTGCCAAAGTGGGGAGTTGTAAACAGCCCTCCTCAAAGCTTTCTACAGGAATTCCTACTGTGGCTTACCGCTCCTCACTGCGGCCTCCGGAAAAAGTGATTTCGTTCAAGCGTTTTGGCCTCAATAAAGGTGAGTCTTGGCAGAAGCCTCAGAGGCTGCAGAGTCGTGGGAGAGGGGCACTGCTGCCGTGGGAAACACCATCCAGGTCCTCGCTGCAGGGTCAAAGCTCCTCCTGGGGAATGGACTGGGGGGAACTGCATGTGCGTGGACTCACAGGAGGGGAGGTAAAGTGCAGAGCAAGCAAGGCTGGATGAAGTCCTTTCCCTCTTTTGCTGGAGAGGCATCCAGCAAAGAATCTGAACAAATCTGGTGCTTGAGGCTCGTTCATAGGAGAGGGAGTGGCCGTGGTCAGTCTCTTAGCAGGGGTTGATGCTCTTTATTTTCCTTCCCTAGGTCTCTCTTCAGAATCAACTACAGAAGAGCTGGTGTGCAATAGGACCCGAGAGCTGAAGGAAAATGATGAGAGCAAAGAAAAGCTGGTTGCAGCAAGCATTGTCTTGGGAGCAGGTGAGCAGTATGGGGGTGTAGATTCTTGCCTCGTGTTGGGGGGAGTGTGGAGAAACATGGGCAGCTGCTTGTTGGGCAGTGCTGCTCCCCAGCTGGGCCCTGTCTGACCAGGTGAGGCCCTGGCTGAGGGTGCTCCAGCCTGTGCTACAGGCAGGGGGTGCTGCCTGCCCAGGAACTGCAGCCGGGCAGCCCGCAGTGCTGAGCCGTGCCGAGGGAAGGGAGGCCAGGAGGCTCTCCCCACTCTCTGCGACAGCCCTGTCCCACCCTGCCCGGGCAGCTGCTGCCTTCTCTGTGAGAGCAGACTCCCAGCAGCAGCCCAGAGGTGCTGGGAACCAGGACATACAGGAGCACTTAGTCCCAGCAGCGCCCATACAGGCCAAGCCAGCAGCAGCTGTTGGGCTGGAAGTGCTGGGAGACTTCTGGCTCTCTTGGACAGGTTCTGTCTTTCCCTGATCTGGAGCAGCTCTGTGGCCAGGTTGAGGAGGGGCTGAGGATGGCAGGTTTCTAATGCTGACACCTCTCTTCACAGGTAGAAATGACCAGACATGGGAGTATGTGGAGTCCTCTTTGTCCAGTGAGCTGGCCTCTGGCCTGACTTCAGGGGGTGAAGATGCAGTTCCTGCTGTGCAGGTAAGAGCCAGCTGTGTCCTGTCACTATGGAGCACTGTTCAGTCTCTGGCTTGGGCCAGCTATGCCAGAGGTAGGAGATGATGAGACCTGGACCTGCCAATTTCTGGCTGGCACTTGAGCTGTTTCAGCCTTTCTCTGGGGTTTACACAAGCACATGGGCATTTTTTGCCTGGCTTTACCAGCTCTCTCTGCTCAGGGGACTGCAGCCTTCTGTCCAGCTAGATTTTCTAAGGGCCTTTTGAAACATGCAAACTTCATGTGGCTTGTGTTGTCACTTTTATATGTCCTGACATGTAGGACATGGCCCCAGGATGGGATGTGCAGAGCCTGCAAGATGAATCTCCAAGTTAAGAAATCTCCTACCTGCAAAATAAGTTTGTGCATTTCCAGCAGTTTTAGGGCTCTTTACTCTGTGGCTGCAGCCAGCCAAAGGCATTCTTGTTTCCCCTGGGTGCTGGCAGATGCTCCCTACAGCAGCTCCTTTGCCAGGCACTGCTCCTGTGATGGATGTGCCCTGGCAGTGGTCCCCAGAGGGCTTGGATGGGCTGCAGTGCTCTTCCAGAGGATGGGCTGTGCTGTGGATCTGTTGTGGGGGAGTCCAACTCCCTGCATCACACTTACACCCTGCTCTTGCCAGTCTGCAGGTGATCAGCTGTCCCAGGAACTGGAGCGTGTGAAGAAAGAGCTGGAACGAGTGAAGGGCGAGCTTGGTATGTGGAGCTGGCTGTTCTGAGGGCTGCAGGACACCTGTAGTTCAGGTGACATCCCCTGTGCCTGTACCTGGAGCCCAGGGCCTGCAGCTCTGTGGGAGTGGGGCTGAATTCATGTTTAGGGGGTAGAGTAGGATCTCAGGGCTGCCCTAGAGAGTCTGGGAGTGAGGTATTTAGGATGGGCTGAGCACACACCTTCTTGCCTCCTGTCTGCAGCTGACAAGACTGCTCAGTGTGAAGCCTATGAGCAGACAATCTCCTCCTTGCAGGCTCAGCTCAGAGCAGCAGGTATGTTCCCTCACTGTGGTGAGCCCTCGCTTCTGGGCAGGCTGCAGGGATGCTCCAGTGGTCCCTTGAGGGCTGTGAGGTGGGAGGGATACAGCTCATGGCCTCTCCCAGGGGTCAGGTGCTGAGTGCCAGGAGCATTACTGCTTTGATGTTGCTTCCCAGGAATCTGTCTGAAAGATGCAGCAGTGTTGGACTGTGGTGACCTCGGGAGAGACTGACAGCTGGGACATGGGGACAGACAACAGTGTCCAGCTGTGTGAGCCCCTGGGCCAGTGATATATGTAGAGCTCTTGAATTAATTAATTTTTTAACTCCTTGTATGTAAAATAAAGGTGTCTTTTGCAGTGGTGCTTGCTGTCTGCTTGGGTAGAGGCAGTGCCCTGGGCTAACAGGGCAGGTCTGTGCTTGGCTATGGCTGGTTTTGCTCAGCCAGAGATTTGAGGCCTGTTACAAGGAGGAGCTGGGGGCTGGTGGATGGAGGTACAGTGTGGCTCTGGGGAAGCATTCTGGATATAACTGATGCTTCCAGGTGGGATGCTTGGATGTGTGGTGGTAGTAGGCAGCTGTATGGGCAGGTTTCTTAGGCCACCTTCACATTGGATGTGGGAAAAGCCAATGCTGGCTGATGGCACATGAGACTCTGCAGGCTTTGGCTATTTATTATTGCTTTATTATCAGTGACTAGAGGCACGTGGTGGGAAGCAGCACTTGGGACTCAGTCCAGTCCCTCACTGTTCCTGCATGCTGGCCCTGCTCTGCTGCCTTCTCTCTGTGCTGGGTTGATGCAGGCACCTTCTGCACTGCCTTGTGTCTGGGTGAGGCACTGAAGACTCTGGTGCTGGCAGTGCCCTGATGTTGGGCTGGGAAGGCTGGCCTGTTCCTGCTCCTATTATTTCTGGCTGGTGTTCCTGGCTGCCTTGGAATGCACATTCACAGATAGCCCACACCTCTTCCCCGGGCACTGCCCTGGGCCGTGTGCAGGGGTGGCTGCACAGGAAAGCTGTGCTGGCTATCTCCCACCCCTGCTTGGCACTTGGTTGCTGGGGCAGCTCCAGTGCTGGCACAATCTGCAGCAGAGAGCCCTAACAAGCTGTGTTCCATCTATATGCATGGTAGATAGTACCTGCACCAAGAAGTTAAGGGAGTTGACTCAAAAAAATGCCCTGCTATTTGTAAACAGAGAGGGACTCGTGGGTGAAGCTGGACTCAATGGTCCTTATGGATCCCTTCCAATCTAAAATACTCTAATGTTTCATTTGTGGAAGGTGGTGGGGGCATCCAAGGACTGATGTGGATCTGTTTCTGCAGGGCTGCTGGCTCCCTTTATGGGCTGGAGCCATCTCCTACCCTTCTTTGATGCTGACTATGTGTGCTTTGCCACTGTTTGCCTTCCTGCTGCTCCTGTTGAGACATGCACTTGGCTTGTTCTGTGCCTCTGCCTGCTCCCAGCCCTTGGCCTGTGCTGCTGGATCAGGGCCCTGGATGATGGGAATGGGGAGCAGTAAGACTGGGAGGTGAGGATGGGACACTGGGAAGACATATGTGGAGCTGCACGTGAGGTTTGGGAACTGGAGACATGTTCTGTTCTCCTGATGATGCTCCTTCCTGGAAAGTGCCTCTCACTGCTTGATGTTGCAAGAAGGTTTCTGGAAATAGGGAAATGTAATCTACCCCCTTGCTACTCTGGGTACTCAGCCTGCTTGTCTGAGACAGGGTGACGCTGCTTGGAGTCCTGCTGCGCCCGTGGTGCTGCCTGTCCTGTCTGAGACCATTCTCGGCGATCGTGCTGCCCTGGTGGGTCCTTGCCTACAGCTGTCAGTCCTGGAATGAGTGGGAAGTGTCTTGAGCACCTCTGACCCCCATTTACTTCGTCATGGGGTCAGAGGTCTGAACTGCGCACCCTCGATTCTGCGAAGCGGGGGCAGAGCACTTCACAATGCGTCAGTTCCAGTCAGAAGCATGAGCTGATGTTTCCATCTCCGCATACTCAGCCGTTTGCCCCCGCGGAGGATGCGGGGGAGGCACCGCCTGGCGCTCCCGCCTGCCCTGCCCTGTTCCCTTCCGCTCTGCAAGAGACTGACAAGCTTTTTGCCTCGCTAGCGGCAATACCGAAGCAGAGCATTGCCGATGATGCCGGCGAGGGGCTGGTTTACCTCCCTGAGCTGCCGCTCTGAACGGGAGCTCACGGCACGCCAGCCCCGGATCGCATCAGGCGCGGCCCGGTGACGGGCGGCTCCCAGCCTGAGTGCGGGACAGGTGCTGGCCCCTGCCTCGCTCCTGGCTGCCCAGCAGTGCTCCCAGGACTGGCGTTTCCCATCCCTTAGTGCCTGTTGCTCCCAGAACTGAGGGGCTGTAGCGGAGCAGCCGGAGGTCGGGGAGAGGCCCCGCACAAGGCGCGGGCGGAGCTCCGCTCGCAGCCCCCGCAGCGGGCTGGCCTCGCCGCCTCGCCTCGCTCCGGTCTGGCCGGGCCAGGCTTCGTTGTCATGGCACATGGGCCATGGGCTGAGGGTGCCCCTGGGCTCGGGGCACCCTCAGCAGCTCCCTCCGTGGCATTTCCCCAGGGAGCAAGATGCCTAAGGGCCCTGCTCTCTTGCCCGCAGCAGCCGTATTCCCGCCAGTCGAGCCCTGCCTTTCGGAAACGAGCGCAGGGGAGGCTGGGGCTACCCTGCGTCCCGCCCTCCCTTTCATACCACTACCAGGGCGGAACTCATCCCCCTCTCCTCTTTCGGCGCGAAACGGAACAGAGTTCACCTAAAGGGGATCCACGGTTCGGGCCGAGCCGAGCCGCAGGTAAGTGTGGCGGTAAAGGCTTGGCGCAACCGGTGCCGTTCTTGCATCATCTGCCCAGCGCACACGCGGCCGGCTCCTTCCGCTCCTGCCGCGCTCCACTTCTGCCGTTCCGCGGGCAGCGCAGACCCTGACTGACATTTCTGGGGACGCAGATGCCCCCGCGGGGCTGAGGCGGTGGTCCCGAGCTAACAGCTCCCCACACCTTCGCCAAGTCAGGCGGGATGCGATAGTCGGTGCCGGGCTACGGTAGGCGCCGGAATGCAGCGGGAGGCTCCTGCTGTCGCCTCACCCATGCGGATCTCGAGTCCGGCTGCTGGAGGTACTTGGAACAATTGAGCAGCGCTGGGGAAGGCAGCTAGACTTGCCCAGGTAGTGTTTGAGGAGGGTCCTGGTGCTGGGGGACTTGTTGCACTTGGGATAAAGACTGAATGTGACGCGTGCTAGCTCGGGAGGAGGTTTACCAAGAAGCAGGATTATTTGCTGGTTATAGGGGAACAGCCCCGAGTTGGTGGCTGCTGTTGTGATCCTGATAATCCTCTATGGAAACGGTCACAAAGTTATCCTTGTGTGCTTAGGCTGATACAGTAATGTGGCATGCTGGGCACGCGGATGGAGTGTGCTCACTTTGTCCGTGAAAGGAGAAGCCAGCAGGGAGAATGCACTGGTGGCTGGGTGGTTCGATGTGGGCTGAGGTGCCAGCTGTGGCCGTGGGCATTGGGAACCACTTACCTTGTGGCTCCTCTGTGCTGGATGCCTGCTTCACGGGTTGCTCGTCTTCTGAGCTTTTTGGGAATAGGTGGCTGCTGTGAGCAGGAGGAGCGGGGATGTCACACATTCGGGGTGATTACAGCCTGTAGCGCTTGCAGACTACTTAGCAGGCACTGCTAGCAGGCAAGGGGCTTGCACCAGGAACCCATAGTGTGTGTCTGTCTGCTTATGCATCCCTGAAGAGAATATGTTCCAGATGCCAAAAGCAACAAAGGAATGGCTCCATCCCAGCCTGCTAAATCCTGTGCTGGAGGAATTGTCTCCACATCATTGCTGCCCACCTTCCAGACTGGAGAAATGTACCATCAGTCAAGTTTGGTTTGAAGGATCTCCAGACTGCCAAGCCCAGGCTTTGGGACGTGCCTATGAGCCCTATGGTTGAGACCACGCAGGTCTTGAGCAATGAGCGTTTCCCAGCATGGACAGACTGGGTTCATCTCTGATGCAATGCCTTGGAGGGTGCCCCACCACGATCTCTGGCCAACCAGTGTGGCAGGGTTGTGGTGCCAATGAGTGAGCTGGGTGGAGGGTAGGCAAGGCTTCTGTGGGCATCATTGCCTACCCTGCCCCTTGCAGTGCCAGTCCTGCTGCCTGAAGGACACTGAGCTTCACATTCCCCTTTTCTTGCAGGGCTTTTCACCAGCTGAGCTTCACTGAGGAGAAGACAAGATGTTGAGGGAAAAAATCACCGTTTTTGGCAAGAAGCTGATCCGCCGGCGCATGGTGGACCTGAGCTCCGATGACACCCATTTTGCTCGCTGCCTCTCCACACTGGACCTCGTATCCCTGGGGGTGGGCAGCACACTAGGGGCTGGTGTGTATGTGCTGGCCGGGGAGGTGGCCAAGGAGATGGCTGGTCCCTCCATCGTCCTCTCCTTCCTGGTGGCTGCTTTCTCATCGGTACTGGCTGGACTCTGCTATGCAGAGTTTGGGGCCCGTGTCCCCAAGGCCGGCTCTGCGTATCTCTACAGCTACGTTACTGTTGGCGAGATCTGGGCTTTTATAGCCGGGTGGAACCTCATTCTCTCCTATGTGATAGGTACGAGGCCAGGCAGCCTGGGTGGGGCTCCTTCCAGCGCTCTGCTGGCACCATGGGGGGCTTCTGGGGGCAGGGGGTGGGGTGGGATCAGCAGGGAGGTGGGTGGCTGGTGCCAGTCTGCCATGGGCTCAGACTAATGCACAGATTTGCCATCAACCAGGTACGGCCAGTGTGGCTCGAGCCTGGAGTGCAACATTTGACAACATCATCGGCAACCACATCTCCACCTTCTTTGTCACCAACATCCCAATGCACGTGCCAGGAGTGCTGGCTGAGCATCCGGACTTCTTTGCTTTGATCCTGATTTTGCTGCTTACTGGTGGGTGAGCAGGAGAGTGGCTCCATGGTACCATGGGTGATGGCACAGGAGCCTGATGGGTCCTCACTCACCTCTTCTGTCCCACAGTACTGCTGTCTTTTGGTGTCAGCGAATCTGCCCTCGTGAACAAAATCTTCACGGCAGTGAACCTGTTGGTGCTGGGCTTTGTCATCATTGCTGGCTTCATCAAGGGAGACATCAAGAACTGGCAGCTTTCAGAGGAGAGCCATGGCAATTTGTCACTGCCAGACACACCGGATGACAAGTAGGGCAACTGGGATCTGGCATAGGGCAGGCACAGGCCTTGCTGTCCTTGCACCTCACAGCAGCTGCTCTCCTGCATTTCTTCCAGGAAAAATGCTTTTGGCTCTGGTGGGTTTTTCCCCTTTGGACTGGAAGGGATGCTGACCGGCGCTGCCACCTGTTTCTAT